ACAAATGTCTTTTAAAAACACCTTAGTCATGTTGATTGTGTTTAAGCTCTAGCCTATAAAGGGTTAAGATTCTGCCTGGGGGTTGACATTTATGATTATTAACCCTGAAGTGCCAGAAGTATTTTTTATGTTTTGGGCCCACATGAAAAGAGTGTTAACACCTTGTGACACTATTGCCCTTTAAGCATGAAGAAATTACAAGTTAGCCAACAGCTGATTATTAAATGTCCATCTGAATATACAATAATAATCATTTGGAGTCTTCTCTGTAATGATGATAACTAAATGTAAAAAAAAGTACACACCCTTTAGCTCTGTTTGTGGTCTAATCCAACCTGGAGGAAGTAATGAGCTTTTAGCATAGACATTAACTTAAACTGTGTACTATTTTTGTAGTGAGCATTTAATATACACTTGGTTATCAGAGCTTTTCACTGGAGACGGAATAAGTGCCGAGGAAGCATTCAGAGGGAACCTAAACAGGTTGAACCCAGGTAAAAAAAGAAATTGCAGGAAACTCTAAATATCTGAAGCTTGAGAGTAGCAGCAGATTTATGAATTAACTTCCTATACATCATCACGCCAAGCCAAGCACCCCTTTCCAAATTATCATTTGATCCTTTGTTTTATAAAGCATTGATTAAAGGTGCTTTATGATCAGGAGCTAGGTAAAGAAAAACGAGTAATGTCAAGGAGTGTCCTTAGAAACAAACGGTGTGTGTGCATGTTTGTAGCCAAAGCAGTTTACTGTTTACAGTAATCCGGTTTTAGTGCTTTATAATCCATCTTCATTGCGGACTATGATATTGCGACATAAAAAGGCCTCATGTGACCTTTTAGAGGTGCTTCAGCAACTCTTTATTTCATCTCAGCACCCTTAAAACATTAACAGGGGATTTTTGACATTTTACAGAAATTGTCCAAATTTGCGATCATTTTGAATAATGTGTAGTAGTAATCAATAACATTTTAAGTCAAATGTAATCTGTCACTAATGCCATTCATAAATCTTTAAAAGGTTATAATGATTTTTTGCTGATTGCCTCACTTTAGAAAATACTTTTCGTCTTCAGCCACATTTGCCTGAGAAAGATCTTTTGGATGGAAATGTTGCCCTGTTTAAAATAAAAGTTGCTCATAGGAGGTGCAGACTTTTCTCTTCTTTCTGCAGTTAATACATTTGTTTGTCCTGCAGCTTTATGCATTTTGCTTGAATGTCTGCACACCTGTTTTCTCTTACAAAATAACATACAAATAATAATTTAATAATAATAATACCTGTACGGTATTAATTTATAGCCTACTTTGGGAAACATTAAATATTCCATCTTTTTCTCTCCTTACAAACTGTTTTGTGGAGTAAAACTCATGCTACTTCATGTTACTTCATATTGTTTTTAATACAAATCACAGTACTTCATCATGTAGTAAAATCTTTCTTGTTTTAGAAGTGTGTGGTTTAGCAGGAGGATTTAACAGGAACTCTCTGTCACAATTTCTTTAGGAGCTGAGCACCCCTAACGGTCTTATCCTAAAATCGCCCCTACCAACACACCAGTTAGTCATCCATAATCTTGTCATGTGTCTACTGTTATTTTATCTCAAAAGGACGGCCATCATTTACAACTGGCTCTGGGGAAGTATATTTATATTTTGTTATCTTTATTTACCATGTACTATTAATGTCACCATTAACTACAAGTATTATTTCTATTTAAAAAATAGCATGAACTGCATTTCACAATATGCTTAAAATACATCATCAGCAATACATCAATAAATCATCATATCTTGGTGGCACAAATCACTAGTGTATTTGGCCCTTAAATGTACAGATAATCACAGAATAATAAAGCAGAGCTCACTCTTAACATGACCATTTTTTTATGCGCTTAAAACTTTGGCGTAACTCACAACACAACATAATCTGTGCTTCGTCCTTTTGCCCTAAACGTGACATGACTGTCATGAATTATGTTGTGAAATACAATCTTTGACCACCAGGGGTCAGAATATCTCCATGAGTTGGAATGACTCATGACTTTCACTGTCTTAAATGTGCCTCCCTCTAGTTCCATGCATGTCCTGTTTGTCCTCTCTGTCTGTGTGTTTGTCATGCAATCAATTCCACCCATCAACCCAATCAAACCAATCACCTGCAATTCATCCGCTTATCCAGTCTCCGCAGTATTTAAACCCCGGATTTACACACCTCTTTGACAGAATGGTCAGTTTGCCAACATGTTGCTGACATCAAGGTCAAATTAAACTCATGTCAGAGAGTAATCCTCATGTTTGATTGAATCCTGCGTTATCCCATACTTAGCTGTGCAGTTGTCTCTCTTTGTTCCATTTCACCGGTTTCATATTGATCTGTCACTGGTTTACTTCCATCATATGGGAATCCAGCCAAAATCACAGTTTTCTAAAGCATTCTGTCAAGCTCTTGGTGCACTAACCAAACCTCTTGGAGCTCTTAGTCTACCTGTAATAAATATGCCAACAACTTTCTGAACTGATTGAACATTTTTTTTAAATCTCAGTGGGTTTGCCAGTCACCGCTGTTCCCCTTCAAATGAACCAGCTTTCTCCTTGGTACAAAGGCATCTCTTGGTCAAGAAGGACGCCTTCTCTGCCCTGCTTTACTGGGTCAACATGTTGACCCTAACCTTCAACAGATCCAAGCTCCTAAATATAAACCAGGCCAAAAAAGTGTGTCCCTCTTTCAAACATAAACAATTCCTGTTTGTCCTTTCTCAGTCTGTAAGAGTTTTCCGGATTTGGCAATCAATTACACTCATTCTGCCAAACTTGGCACCTGCAATTATTTTACTCATGTTGGAGCCTTTGCAGCGCTAGTAACTCGGCCAGATTGTTCACTTTGCCAACAATATAAAATGTTGTAAGACTAATCCTGGTGCTTTACTCCTATGTAATCCCATTTACCTGTACTATAAATCCACTGTCCTCACAGGATCCCTGCCAGCCTGATTTGTCTAGTTGGGTTTATCTAGTTGTCTAGTTATTTATCTTCAGTTCTCAATTCATTGAACATTTTCAAGTCTTGGACTGTGTTCTGTTTTGTGTTCAGATACCAATGAAAATTAATCACCCCTGTTTATATTTTTGTACATTTACCTTCTTCATTTGATTACTGCATAAAACCTATTATTTAGTCTCAATGCACATTGAAAAACGTTCTCAGGGGCTTCTTTGACCTGGAAAAAAAAAGGCAAATTCAAAACTAATTTTAAAATGTTAACTCCTACCATTGACCATGTTTTCATGTGTTTTCAGTCAAACTATCACGCATATTTCCTTTTAATCTTATGATATTGTTACACTGAGTAAGGTCTTTAGTAACATTATATAACAATGTGTAAGGTATTTTACCTGCTCTTAAAGTGTCTTGAGATAACATTGTTATGAATTAGCGCTATGCAAATAAAGACTGATTGATTAATAGATCATTTTCTCCTGTGATATTTCCTGTGCCGAAGTTGTAATTGTAACAATGTTGTGATCTGATATGTTGCAGATATAAAACGTCTTTATTCTGATATCAAATGTTTGTCTAACGCATATTTGTACCTTTATGGTTGCTATTGACATTCGTCATGCAGTCCTGCTTGTGCCAGTAACCTGACTTTTGTCCTTGGTTACCCTCTTCTTTAAGGTTGTCTGCTTTGCCATGCAGCTGTACAGTCTTGCCATTCCTGCCATGATTTATGTGTACCAGTAGGTCTACATGTTTGTCCCTGCTTCCCTTGTCCTGTTGCCCTGGAACTTAAATGAACTGCATGTAAGTAATACTGTCCTTGCCAGGTATGGGAGCTGTGCTCTTTTGTCTTTCCCTGTAAAAGAGTTGGTGTTACGAAATACTCGATAATTTGTAATGCCAACTTTGACCACTAGGTGTTACTAATTCTCCATGAATCTGTCTTTGACATTATTCTAGATTCTTCTCTATTGAAATACCAGAGACTTTTAAGTGATAGCTACAACTACACATAAGAATTACATCTTGTTGAATAACTGCAAGTATACCTGTCGTATTTTAGAGGAATAACCCCAACAGCTGTTAATCTTAATTATAGTTTATTGCAAACTTTATTCTCATCTTTTATGAGAACACAGCCACCTTCACTCAGCCTTCTGTTGCCAGGCAGTGTTTTATCAGGTTTTATGAAGACAGATCCAGATTGATCCAGTTACTGTACACCACTGCTGTCAGCTGAGCTTTGATCGAAACGTGACAGGTCGCACAGCAGAGCTCGAGCTGTCCTCAGCTGGCTCAGTTCCTAGAAAGAAATCATCAAGTGCAGGGTTATATAACATCAGCAGTGTATGAGTGGGCGTGGCTTTCACAGTATGTCATTCATACTCATCCTGAAGTGATGATTTGTGTAAACACAGGACAAAGTGACAGAACATTACATTTAACTTGGTTGTAGAATAGACCTTGTTTGACTTATTTAAACAGGGAAAACCAAAATTAAAGTGTTTGCCCTCATCATTAAGAGGATGAGCTTCACTTCAAGAGACTGAAGACAAAACTCTAATAATCGATTAAGGCCGGTCTGAAGTCATACTTACAGGATAAACTGTGCTCTTGGAGGATTTCATGGTTTGTGTGAAGAATATTCAGCATTAAAGCTTATTTACCCTCAGCAAAACCTCTTTAACTTCACTTCATCTGCAGAGACATAGTATTCAATTGTTTAACAAGATCAAATTGAGCAAATTAGATTGGATTTCTGTTTTTTTTAAGAGGTATCAATTTATACTGTTTCTTTGCTTATACACTATTTTGACAGATTTTTTTTTCCAGCTAAATAATATACAGCATTGGGTCTTCATTGTTATAACAACTAAGTAACTGGATTTAATCTCATAAAACTTATCAAGTGTAAAATATTCACCAATATTGTCATTAAATACTTGTAATATCATGTTTTGACTTTCACAGAATTTGGAACACCTTGAAATGAAGAGACATGTTCACATTGAAGATGTTTTTTTTTATTGATCCTTCATCCATCCTGTCTACAACTACACACCATAGCTTCCACATTATATTGTTTCTTCGCATACAATATTGCTGTACATGAAGACAGCAAGCAGCCCCTTCATAATATGTTACAGACTTAGTCTCTCAGGTTACAGTAAAATAAGTTAAAACATCTCTCGGGCCTGTGAAACCAGGTAAATAACATCTTCCCTCGCTGCAGATGGTACCCAGTGCAGCAGCTCTACAGCTTCAATATGCAAGTAACAACCCACAATTCTTAGCTGTAAGAAGGCAGAAAACAGTGTGTGACCCTAAAACCTTTTTTAAAAACTCATACAGAGTGTGATGGCAGGTAGGGGATACAAACAGAAGCTCAAAAAGGGGCTGCTTCAGCAACCGTACAGATCAGGCTCGGCTTAAGAGTACTAAAATGCAATATGAGGTTTTGTTGAACATTTTAAAAGACAAATAGTTATTCTGCTTAAGAGCTTTCATGGCAAGTGATTGTTTCTCAACACAGATAAATATGGGTAGACGAGAGGGAGTGCAGAATGTTAACACTGCAGCATCCCCCAGGTCAAAGGTCAGAAACTCCAGTTGGCATGAAAACTGGTCAAAGTTAGAGAACAAGCATCTGTCAGCCACCTAAAGTCTCCATTTTCCACCCTGTATCACTTTGATGTGATCGATGGTATGATATTTAAACTCAATAACTTTAAAAAAAGGAGGGTAAAGGCATGGCTCTGCAAACAGAATGTACCAAACTAGTGTTGTTTTGAAAAACAGAATAACGGACAGGAAATCTCTCATTGTTAGACATTTTAAATAATGATTAGTTTGTTCCTCTTGTTGCAGTAAAAGAACAGCTTAGCCGAAGAAGAACAGACTGTGGTTTTATGTTTAGCCACTTCAGCACCATACAGAGAAAGTGACACTTGGGTTTTCTTGATCGCAAGTGGCACCTTTCGTACCGTACACAACATTAAGTAACCATGTGAAAAAGTGACTCAACATAAAACCATGTTAAGAATGTGCATGCCTAAAAACAAAGCAAACAAATACAGTAAAATGACATTAAATATTCAGGTTTTGATGACTGGCTCATGATGTTGCAGATTTCAGGTATGCAACAAGGTCTCCGCGCTCTCCCTTCTTCTTGATGCCAGCAAAGATCATTTTGGTTCCTGGAATGTACTTCTTAGGGTTCTCCAGGTATTCCATCAAGGTGGCCTCTCCCCAAACAATACCTGAGACCAGACACATAATTGGTGATTAAAGACAGACTTGAACAATCTGATCAAGGAAACTAAGAAGGATCCCGAAGTTAGGTGGATAACACTCCAGATATCAGAGGGCCCAAGTTCAACCTTTTAAACCTTCAGTATGAGCTGCTAATGTCATTAGAGCTCAAAGGGTTCACCACAGGAGGCTGACAAACAGCTGATAACACTCATTATAAATAGAATACATAACAAACATGTTCTGGTTTCAGTGTATCCTTTGAGGGGATCTGCTGTTATTTACGTGTTATCATCTTAATGGAATCTCAACAGATCTTGACATGTTTGTTCGAGAGAAAATACATTTGACGATGTGATTATACTTAACAATGTTATAAACATATTGACTGATAAAGGAATAACTATAAATGCAGCTCTAAGTAACTTCGACTTGTATAAAACAAAGTGTAAATAAATGAATATTCACTTAAGTTAATTATTTTTTTTGCATATTTGTAATAATAGATTCTGTTAACAGAGTAGTTTAAAACAGTTTAGACCCTGTTATAACTTTATACTCAATTTCTTCGACAAGTATTACTAAGAAGTGTGACATACTATGGATATGTGGCCTTATAACACAGAAAAGACTTTGTTGTGAGTTCTTGTAAACTTCAGTTAACCACTACAGAACTGACCTTTACTCTTGTTGGCGTCTGTGTACGAGTAGCCCTCTGCCTGTCCGGTCTTACGCCCGAACAGACCCCAGAGGTTGGGGCCCACCTTGTGCTTGCCCCCCTCTTCTACTGTGTGACACTGAGCACACTTCTGGACAAAAGCCTTCTTTCCCTTGGCAATGTCTCCCATGGTGAGCTGCGAGAACACAGAGTGGAGACAGGACAGACAATAAGTCACATATACAGCTACGTTAAACTGTACACACCATGACTTTAGCTCCATGTGTGAATGTTGATCCTTAAATACAACTGCCCATCTACAGGATCTATTCATAGCCCATGGTTATGGGAGGAGGCTCCTCTGCAGCCCCCCCCCCGACGGACGCCATCTTTGCGAAGGTCGTCTAAGGTGGTAACTTTTTTTTTTTGCAGCGTTCAGTTTTGCTTTTATCTAACATTGCATTCGTGACATCCACCTGTACACTGGTAGCCTGGCACCCTGCCAATTGTCATTTCAGAGAAACACATACATACTCATGAATACACCTTTACAATGCAGCGTTAGCCTAGCTCCCGTTAAGTCTCTGTAACAGAGGCTCATTCTTTCCGAGCACAGCCAGACAGACAGACAGACTGACACCTCTCAGGTAACTCTCCGGATGACACGGTAATTAAAAGGTTTGTCATGATCGCGTCCAGGTCAAGGGTTAAGCTCGTATCGCTTCTGTGGAGTGCGAAGCTATCCGACGTTAATGCACTTAAAAAAAGGTGACTAAAAGCAGGTGAGACATATCTCCAAACATGTGTTACCTTCCCCGTTTATGTCCTCAAATAACAGACGAGGAGGGCTGCGCTGAACTGACGTGACCTCTGTGTAAACCCTCAGTAGTGAGGGCGAGAGAGAGTCTGCTTGCCAAAATGTGACATTTATTGCTTAGATATGCTTCGAGCCTACAGCAATTAACAACAGTCTTATCTGAATTAAATAAACTAATAGTGTAACAAGAACAATGGCTGCTTATCGTCTCTAAGCGTGTCAATAAAATGCTGATTTCAAATGACATAATATAGCCTATGACGGAAAATGTCTCTTGTATATCTTAAAAGAGCCCAGTAGGCCTACAGACTGCACATTGGACAATTTGAAGTAGCTTTAAAGGCTTCAGCTTGGGCAGACAGAAACATGGCCACACATCCTTTCGTAAGGCATCAAGGACAAAGCCTTTTTTAGCAATTTCCATAACAATATAAAAAAGTATGGCCATATTCGTTTGATAAGAAGATAATCCGCATGATTAACAGCGTGAGCAGAAGCAAACCCCTGGACATCCTGCTAGTTAGATTATCTACGGGATGTGTTACCCACCCAGGCTATGTCAAGGATGCTTCAATGTCGGCGTCCTTATATCGCCCTACAGTCCTGCTTATTGTCTAACACATTACACAACCAATGAAGCACTGAGCACGTCTGGAAAACCCCCTCCATACATCCTTCAAGTAAGTATTCAACACAACATAGCCTACTATCAACGCAAATCGTCTTGGATAGCGCTTACAGTTTACGCCAAGAGAGAAACCGAGCTGTTCACATTGGAGATCCCGTTAGCTACATTGTGTCCTTTTGTCCTTTATTTAAGCATCATAAATAAATAAATCCACCTGTAATTGGTATAAACACACAAATGATGTGTAGAAGTTTACCTTTTTGATGAAAATATACGGAGCTAAACTGCCTCCGGTGTGGAGTTAAGATGCTTCTCGCGGCCGGTGAACGGTTTCTGACGGTCGGTAAGAAGGTCACTTCACTTTAGAGGCACCGGCTTTTGACGTCATCATCCAATCACGTGCTGCGCGAGTTCCTCTGAATCGTGACGTGGTCCCTCTACAATATGGCCCTAGTCTCATTTCGCAACATGTAAGTGTCCTTCGCTGATTTATTATCTTCAAATTGATTTTTTTTAAATCGCTTGTTTCGTGGGTTATACATGTAAAAAATATATATATATACACAATTAAAACACGTATAATAAAAAAAACAAGATAATGTCGCTGGTTTGTTGTAGCAGATGGGACAAGGAACTAACAAAGGAAGCCAGAATACTGTTTTAGTACTGGTCCCAGCAACTTGTCGCATTCCCTCGATTTCATTGAGAAGCCTTTTAAGGACATATTGGAAACGCCTACATTAGATTTAAAATGTCTTTATCACAAGAAAAGTATCCGTCAGGTTAGAGTTTCACTCACAGAATTGTGAACTTGCAGGCAGTTTTACACATCATCATATATTTGCTGTATTGCATTTAAACTGTTTAGAGTTAAGACGTGTGTGCTTTCATAGACCTATAGCTCAATGTTCTGGTTCTTCTGGGGCACACACGTGTGTTTATTCAAAATAGACGTGAGAAATTGAATAGGATCACCTCATTTCCACACTTAATTTTGCCCACTAATATACGAATATAAGTTGTAGGCCTATATATACACTGGTATGCTACGACGACAAAGCTATTCTAATCCAAACATTTGTCCTCATGGGGTTCGAGCAGCACACAACACAAGTGCCACGGCTGTAAATTATTCATGACACCCTCATACCCCAACATGACATGACATACAAGTCACACGTCCCTCTGACGTCCCATCATCAGCTGACTGTCGTAAGCTCAGTGTGTGTTACGTGGTCAGTTTTTTAAAAGATAAAAATATATATTTGTGATAGCCCGTTTAGAGCCTATATAATATTCAATGTCTGTTGAATATCATGGATCACACATATACTTCACAATGAAGCCCTCTGCTCTATTTGACAGGCCAACTTAATGGTGACTCAAAGAAATATATATATATATATATATTAAAAGTTGTGCAAGCCATACGTAGGCCTATTGTAATCAATCAAAGGAAAATAAGGTTGCTTTGATTTTCGTTATACAAAATACATCTTCGAAGGGATAACTCCTGTAGCCTTACATTGGCGTTTTCTTTTTACTTTTTTTTTGTGTGGCATTCCCTTTCATGGTTATTTGACATTTTTCTTTGAAATATAATTACTTGTAAATATACCTAAAGGACACTGTTTGTACATCATTTGATCATTTCCCTTTCTTGCGGATATTGTCACAACCTGGCTCAACAGAGCAGTGACACAAGAGGGAGACCACACATAGTCGGCAACACTATTCAAAGGAGTTTAATTAACTTATTACATTAAACAGTGTTAGATCTGTGCGGAGGTCAGTGTGTATGCAGTGATGAGAGTGTGTGTGTGTGTGTGTGTATTAATAAATGAGTATCAGAAACTCCAACCAAAGCACAAACAAACAAATGTTAACAGCAGTATGCAGGGGAGAAGAGAGCGAGTAGATTGAGCAGGTCTGCTTTTTAGACTCCCAAACCAGCCCGCACAGGTGTGCTGCATTAGAGTCCTCTCTGACTCCACCCACATCTACCTGCAATAAAGAGAACACAGCCAGCAAAGGGAGACAAACAGGACGAGGCCAACCTCGAGGCCGGCACAATATGAGAAACACCTTGCTCATTATTGATGAATTTCAAAAGTCTTTAGTAACTATAGACTGTATGTTAAGTGCGTCGTTAGTGAATTGGCACTCCAGCGCAGTAGGTGGCGTTTTGAGCACCTTTCTTCGTCTGCATTGATAGCTTCAAGACTGTAGGAATTTACCTCATTAACCTACTACTCTCTGCCAAGATAACAGTAGATCTTACTCAACAAACAACCCGGGGTAAGCTCATAAAAAAAAAACCCCACAAGATTAATGACTGAATTCAATTAAAGGGCATCGACTTTTGAAAAGTTAAAGTGTCAAAATAGATTAAAACCGAACGGATAACTGAGAATCGTTGTAGTTCCGAGGAGCATTTGAAGGCAGCACCAACGGCAAATCCAGCACCATTTACTTGAGCGGTGATCAAGATGGAGGAGTACCCCTCCAAACAATCCACTGAAAACCTCGACGACCCCCAAACAGCCGGCTTTTCGCGGTCACAAGTCGGTCCATAACCGAAGATGAGCTACGGGACAGTTTTTCTGTGTTTGGGGACGTCCAGGGGGTTTGGGTTGTCAAAGACAAGCAGACAAAGGAGTCCAAAGGAATCGCCTACGTGAAGTTCGCCAAGTCGTCGCAGGCCTGTTTGGCTATGGAGGAAATGCACGGCAAGGTTTTGATGGACGGGACCAAACCTATCAAGGTAAAGTTAGCTTTTGAGATCACAGAGCTAGTGAAGTTTAAATATATATTAAAAAAAAAAAAAACGACGTAAAACAATCAATAAGAAATACAAAAAAAACAAAACAAAGTTCTGGTCAGCAACAGTTAGCATGTTAGCATTAGCTGAATACGTAGACTTGATGTTTATGAATTTGTGAATTCAGTTTGTGCTGAAATTAAAAAGCTGTGTTGTCATTGGATTGTAAATATCAAATATAGTATAGAAAAATGTGTGTATGAGAGAGCTTATAAGGAACACAGGAATTTAATGTAATAAATATTAATTATTGAGCTGTCATGTTTACATAGAAGCAGCATAATGGCTGGGATTACAAATGGTATTTAAATTTAAAAGCACAAACTGTGTCATTTTGCATTTGTAACCATTTTCCTTTTTTTTATTTTCTGCTTGGTTTTGTAGGTTTTTATTGCCCAGTCACGTTCCTCAAACAGACACAGAGATGTGGAGGATGAGGAGCTCACCAGGATCTTCGTCATGATCCCCAAAACCTTTACAGAGGAGGACCTTAAAGATACTTTCAAAGTAAGTATCCTCGCTCTAAACTGTGTCCCTTGTTTCTGCTTTAAAACGTTGTGTTTCTGTGTTCTCCTGTCTTTATGTATTGCCTGTATTAATAACACAGATTACAAAGAAAGACAGAACATGTCAGGGAACTCAGATGAAGATTTGCAGGTTCAATGTACCACATCAATTGTATTAATTTTTTGTGTGCATGTTGTACCAAAACTTAAAGGATGTACCATTTTAAAATCTTGAATACAAGACGCAGCCAACGTTTCAAATAGGAATTAAAAGCGCGTCTTGTAAACTGGATTTTACCGTACTTCATGGCTATACATTATTTTAAATTGGTTAAAAACAATCCACACATGAATAGAAGTCTATCTTAATTATGTACAAGCTCTATATTTTTTTTTTGTCTCTAATATGCGAATGGAGACATTAAATTATATACAGTCCCAAATAACCAGCTTTTATTGAACATTTAAAATCCTTTCCTTATCCTGTTGCCTCTGTCGATGTCTTACAGGAATATGGGGAAATCGAGTACTGTGTGATCATCAAGAATAAGTCCACTGGTGAAAGTAAAGGACTGGGCTATGTGAGATACCACAAACCTTCCCAAGCTGCCCACGCTATTGAGAACTGTGACAAAAGTAAGATGGGTGACAAATTCTGTAGTTTTTTTTTTTTCTTAACCCTTTTTTTTGTCACTCAGAACAGACACATTAATGATGGTGATTATGTTGGTAGCTTACAGGGCCATCCTAGCTGAACCTCGCACTAAGACCACTGTAACAGAAGAGTACAGTGGAGGAATGTCCAGAGGTGAATACATGGGCGGGAATGACTCGATGAACCAGTATGCCTTCCCTATGGGTACGTTCTTGTTTTGCATCATTCAGTCAGACAAAGGGCTTGACTATATGGCTAAAAAATGAAGTCTCTGTGTTTAATAGATTAAATGTTGCTCCTATTAGCTGCTTTTGGGAATGTTTTTTCCATGGCACTGTTTTCTCTTCCATATTCAATATTGTAATCGGCCAGGTTATTTATTCAAGTTATTATGATGTAATTTTAATACTCAAAGTGGTACAGATTATTGTTGCATTGTTCAGACTAAGCTGCAAGTATAAAATGTTGCTCTGTTTTATGTATTATTCTTTTACATTAAGTAGCACTGTGAACCAATATTTCTGAGTCGGCGCCCAATCATATGTCAATGCTTTGACATTGTCCCTCTGATGTACATGACATATCAATACAGCAGCATAGGAAGGAGGAAGACAGCTACCAAGTAACCATGGATACTAGGGATGTAAAGATTAATTGTAAAATCGATTCGAAGGTGTCAAGATTCGCATTGGTACTCTGAAAAATGAATTGCAATAATATCGTGAGCGTCAGCAGCTGTAGAGCAAGATTTTGAAATTGAGGACGCACCACCGTCATTTTAAATGAGAGGTGTGGAAGCATTTTGGCTTCCTCAAGACAGAAAATAAAAGAGGTGAGAAGATAACAGAAGAGACAAAAACTGTACGAATAAGACCGGGAACTACACAAACGGCACAACCAACATGATACAGCAAAATGAGAAGCTCCAATCACTTCCCGTTATTGCGAGGGAGAAAAAAAAACCATTAAAAGTCCAAACCACACTGACAAGCGGGTCTGCAAGTGCGTTAACATCTTTAGGAAATGTGGCCTCAGACATTCTGTTTACAAGCTCAAGCAGAAATAACTGAAAATAAAATACTGATGAAACCTAAGTTCTAGTAGCAGTTAGTAATCAGTAGGTCATTGACTTTTTGTTTCTCAAGGGATGGGTGTAGAAGTTGAGTTAAGGGCCATTTACCCAAGTACAGACAGGAAGCAGATTATAGCTCCTGCGTCGTCTTTTTAAGTAGAGAAACAGAAAGATAGAAGCGCTTGATGGGGCAGAAATGTTGTTTTTATCAAATTCCCTCAGGTTTAGATAATGTGATGAACGATTTCTTCAAGCTGCATTTAAAAACTAATTTCTGCTTTTTTTTTTTTTTTTTTTTTTTTTTCTCCCCCTACGT